GTGCTGTACACAATTGATGTATGTATGGATTGTGATGAATTGTATGAGCCCCAATAAAATGATTAAAAAAAAAAAAGAGTATAGCCAAGAACACCCTCTGGAGCCGGTCTGCTCTCTAACAGGGGGATCGCCAGGAAGCAGAAGCAAGGCCACAGCCACTGCATCTGTGGTTTGGGTGACAGCCAGAAGAAGGTTTATCAACAAGATGCTTCCTGCTTCACATCTATAGTAACAGGTCTGATTTTCACCCGGTACAGGTTGCAGCTGCCCCTGTTTTCAACATGGCAGATAAGCCCGATGGTGAAGCCTGATGGATCTCTGTGACAATGAGTTGTCAAAGAAAGCCAAGCAGTGTGACTGGTCTGGACCCTCTGAGACAGCTCATCCCTATTTGGAACTCCTGCAACAGCAGGCAGACAAGGTCAGAGGTCTTTCCACCCAACCTAAACGCCGAGCACATCCACACCTGGAAGGAAGAAGTGGAGTGAGAGAAAAGCTCCTTCTGCACTTTTCTCGGAATTCAGTTACCTACTAAGATATTAACAAGTCCTCTTCCCTCACCGGCAGATGGCTCATGGCTCATAGAAGTATCAGGGATGGGCTGTGCACACTCCGTCATGGGCACAGGCCTTGGGCCATTTCCAGGGACAAAAACATTTTAAAGAAAAAAGCAGACAGGCTCTGTAGTGAAACCATTTGAGACCCAGTTGAGTCTCTACTGTTTCATTTTCATGGTTAACCTTGGCTGTCAAGGAGCAGAGGGGAGATTGGATGCGGAAGAAAAGGCCGAGCATAGTAAACTCGCAGGGAATGGCTAGACCCTGAAGTCATCTTACTTGGTTGGAAAACAGTATTTTAAAAATACTATGGATTAAGGCATTCAAAGAACTAACAAATGTCCTTGAAAATGCACTGTTTTCGGAGATGATGGGAAAAAAATTATCTAAACCAGGTTAAGGCTTTAAACTTATTCTCAAAAGAACCATTTATTGTATTGCTTCTGCATATAATGCCAACTGACTTCTCTCATCCAAGAGGGGACATTGTGTCTCATTCTCATTTTTTATCCTGAACCCTATAATGACTGGAAGTGCAAAGTTCTATTTCCCAAACTCCACTGTGCTCTGAGACCCAGAAGCCAGCTCCCTGCAGCCTCCTTGCTGAGCCTAAGAGATTCAATCACAAAACAATCACAAAACTTTTTCTCCTAGCAAACAGAACTGGACACATTTCAGGGACCTTGTGAAGCTCAAGATAAAAAAATAACAATACAATTAAAAACACACTAACTACATGTAAAAAAACGTGCTATGTAAGTAAAGGCATATCTACAATTTTGTAAATTTTGCATGATACAAGCATTTGGGAATGGGGGCAAGGGTGGGACGCTGAAATATGATGGTGGAAAACAGAACTTCAACACTAGAGTGAAAATCGAAGGCTTTTACACCATCAGAGCAATACATTTTTTAACAATGACCTCAAGTTTAAAAAGAAAATATAGTAGGGCTTCATGATGAAGTTAATGGGAGGAATAAGAATAATTAGCAACTAGTATTTAATTAATTAGACAATGTGAAAATTTTGGTGATATAAATAGCTAAATTTCCAAAATTATAATGTGTCTTGGTGATGATAACCATTTAGCAATGTATGAAGTACATTCCTTTCCTTATGAGAGGCTTTTTGTTATTGTATCTCTAATGTTTTCAGGTATACGGAGTCTTTTTCCTAAATGAAAGTTATTTCCATGTCAAAGAATTTCTTGATCAAGTGTGTCCACCAGAAGGCTCTGGAAAAACAGCACAAACGCATTTCTCTTCGACTTGCCACAGTGTAATAATCTCATGGATTTTCCTCATATCTTACCCCTCGAGATAGCACATCCAGACACCCACGAGACCGAAAGAATTTCAAAATCTCTTCCTACAGCACAGCACCCAATGTTGGCAAGGAAGAAGTGTTACCTTGTTGCAAACATTGCTCTCAGGGATGAGAAAGTTGCTGCATCTTCTTTCAAAGCCTTCAATTCATTTCTAAGTTTCGTCATAGTTTCCGTCACCATTGCCTTTTCGTTTTCATATTTGTTCTTGAGATTAGCTAGTGCCACCTCAGCTGTCTGAAGCAGAAAAATCAGAGTGCTTACACAAGTTTCCTATCAGGACTTTAGAACATAGAGATTTCTTCATGGAGGATCTATTGTTTTCTCTCACAAATGGAAAGTTAGACTGATGTGGTTAAATTTTATATACACATAGGAGAGTACCTGAAAAAGGACTGCAGCCAATCATACACACCTTTACGAAGCACAACATCCAGAAGGGAAGCTGCTGTTTTTCTCCACCTCCTCTATCTACATCTATGCTTCTGAAGGTCTGACATTGCCATCGCTCGAACCCTCCTTCCTCCCGTGTGAGGTACACCCCATCCAAAAACCATTTGGGGAACCCTCCAGGGAATTTGACTGTGTTCCTTGGAAATGTTCCTTGAGTTTGGGGAACAGTAAAAAAGTCTGAAGGGATAAGATCAGGATTGTAGGGGAGATGGGCAAGATTTCCCAAGGACAGTCCTTGCTTCCCTAGAAGAATGAGCGGGTTTAGAGAAAAGTTATTTGGTAAACTTTCCTGGTCTTTTCCTCATCAATGCACTTTTCTGTTTTTCTTAAAACCTCTTCATAAGAAGCTTCTATGATCATGCTGTCCTTATTATGCCTTTGTCATGGGGGGAAAAGTACTCAAAACTTTCTGAGCTGACCTTTCTGCCTTAAATTTAATGGACTCAGCAGATCCCCTCAAGGGCACCCCTGGTTAGACAGTGTTTGATAGGACTTGTCTGTAGGCATCCCCTGATCAGACATGTCAAATCCACGCATAAATCCACGCATGTATGAACTGGAGCCCTGGTAGCACTGGGTTTGTTTGTTTTTGTTTTTACTTACCCTTGAATGATACTTTGGACACAGGGAAAAATTTTAATGCCTAAATGCACTGTGAATTCATAATGTTGTTAAATTGCCCTAGAAACCAACTTTGAGCAGAGCCAGTAGCAGGAGCTAAGGAAAGGATGGTAGTTCAGGAATTATTTAATGCAGATCTATAGGGGTGTGGGACTTCCAGATCGTGTGGACTGTTAACTTGATACCAGATATATGATAATATCTCAAGGATCAATTAGTCAAGAAGCATAACAACTGAAGTATGTTAGAGCTCAACTATTCTCTTTTCCCCCCAAAATAAGTAAAATTCATTTAACACAAAATTAAACCATTTATAAAAGATCCCTTCAAGAGCATTTAGTATGTTTGTATTCCAGGGAAACTATCATGTCTATCTAATTCCAAAGTATTTTCTTCTCCCCAAAGGAAGCCATGTGTAGCCATTACTACAGCCCCTTTTCTTTCCCAGCCCCTGGCCACCACCATGAACTCAGAGATCTGCAAACCACCTATGCTCTGTGGGTTGGAAACAAAGATTAACAGGTAGACTCCTGGAACCTCTAACAGGCATATGTGGCAAACTATAAATCTATGTTATTATATTTTTACAGGAGGAAATCCCACAGTGGATCAATTACCTTCTTAAACATCGTAGACACTCCCTTCAAAACAATGAGTTAAAGTCTAATGTCATGCTTCATAATTTCCATAAAAGCAGATATTTCACAATGTTGAATGAGCTGAAAAACTGGTTTGGATCGGAGGTTTTGGCATGCCTGAAATTCTTGCTTCAAATGAAGAACTAGCCTGGTCTCACATTTTACAACTTGATGCCCTCCTCAAGATCAATATAGAAAGATGATCTGAACATTGCAAAAATATAACTTGAATACCTGGTCATTTTTTTCTTTAAATTGTAAAAAAAGACTGTATATGAATGAGTCTTGCCAAATGAAGTTGTGTGGCAATTAAACAATGCAAACAAATATAAAGCATTAAACCCACCCTGGTATATAACAGAATCTTTTTAAGAAAACATTGAATGAATACATGAAATCAGTATATATTTTGGATGTGCTCAATTGGTATATAGCATATTGCATGTATCATGAAGCCAAATTATAAACTAGGCATGTTGTTTACAATGTTTTAAAAGCAGAAAGCTGTAGGATATTTGGGTCAATATATCCAACACTAAAGAAAAAAAAAATCATTGAAGAAATAAAAAAGTCATTGCTAATGAAATCCCCAGAAAGATTACTCTCTTTGCATTACCTTTGTGCTTGAAATAGTTTCTATTTGGTTAGGAAAAGCATTAAATTCCTAGAGATTGGATATTTTAAAATTAAAACAATATGGGGGGGGCGTGATCTGTTGTTTCTGATTTCAAAGAAATTTATTACCTTTAAATTCAGATTAAAATGAGAAGTTACTTATAAAATATTTTAGTAAGTTCTGTAGTCAAATGTTAGAAATATGATCGGTTTGGCAAAGTATCCCAAATTCAGAAATTGATCTAGAGCAAAATACTAGATGCTTATAGTTTTTAAACGTTTCAATACGTATTTGTGAATTAGAAGCAGCTGTGAAAGTGAACATGTAATGACTCTACAAACAAAGAGAGGTGACGGAGAAGCGGGAGCTGAAGCAGAGGACAAACCCATTCTATGAATCCTGAGAGCGGCCAGGAGGATCCAGCTTTGTTCACTGGCTCTCGTGTCTCTAGATTGTAATCGGCTTTGTCTGTACCCCATGAGGAGCCCTGGTGACAGAGCAGATGAAACGCTGGACTTCCAACCTCAAGGTCAGCAAGCTGAAACCCCCAGCCCCTCCACGGGAGCGGACACGGTTTTCTACTCCCGTACAGGGTTACAGCCCCAGTCTCGGAAACCCGTGGGGTCGTTCTGCTCTGTCCTATAGGGGCACTGTAAGTTGAAGTTGACTCTGTGGTAGTGAGTTAGAAGTTTAAAATTTTTTATTTATTTGTATAACCCTGTAGGAAAGCGCTTTGGTGGTATCATGAGTCACAGGTTGGCTCAAAATGAGTTACAAGATCAGTGGTTCAAACTCACCAGCCTCTTGGTGGAAGCTTTCTGCTCCCGTAAAGATTTATAGGCTCAGAAACCCACAGAAAACCGTTTTCCACTGTTCTATAGGAGCCCTGGTGGTGTAGTGGTTACGAGTTGGGCTGCAATGTGCACAGTCGGCGGCTCCAACCACCAGCAGCTCCTTGAGAGAAAGACTGGTTTTCCTACTTAAACAGTGGTCTCGGGAACCCGCAGGGCGTCGCCATCCTCGGTTAGCATTGACTGGATGGCAGTGGGCAATAGGGTCACTCTTTGAAACCGACTGAATGGCACTGAGAGTGAAATCCATTTGTGGATTTGCTGATGTCCGCACCGGCCAGTCTCTCCCCAAATTGACTTTTAATAAATTAGAGGACTCAAAACATTTGTGGAAAAGATAAATGGGATCTTTTTTCCTCTGACCACAGAGATTTTCACAACCAATCCCTCATCTGTCACCTCTCTGTCTCCTATTCTTTCTGCCTGGAACTATTTCCTCCTTCTCTGGTAAGCAACCAACTCAATTAAAATTGCTTCTGTGAAGTCTTTTTCAATTCCTCCAGGAGAGGAATTGCTGCATTTGGCTGCTAACTAAAAGGTTGGAGGTTCAAGTTTAGCCAGAGTCACCTCGGAAGAAAGGCCTGGCAATCTATGTTTGAAAAATCAGGCCCTGATAACACAGGGGGCACAGTGCCACCCTGACATGCACAGAATCACCGGGAGTTAGCTCTGACCTTATGGCCAGTGCTTTTGGAAGCAGCAGTTGGCTTCTCTGTCTACGTTCCTATAACTTGGATTACAGCAAGTCTGACACTGAACTGTAATTATCTGCTTATATGCTGACATCTCACTAAGCTAAAACCATCTTTTTTGAATCTTCAGGATCTTGCTTAGTTTGGTATGTAGGTGACACTTTATACTACTTTGCCTGTTTTTTGAGAAGCTTATAAAAATAATCCTATAGTATATTAAAAGATATGTAGAGAATGTATGTAAAATGCTGATTTTAATAAAGGAAGGTTATCTCCCCTCCCCCATTCTCCTGATACCACAGAATTCTCACCTTCGCCTGCAAATGAACATTCTCTAACGTCTAAATATAATAGATACCATTTATAGATAATTGATGCTATTTATGGCACAGAAGCATCACAGTGATAGGCTCAACAGTATTAAAATGCATAGCAGATGCATGCCTAGAAATAAATTTCATTTAATTTACTGAGCACATCAGGGATGTCTCTCTAATGCAATGCAAATGTTGTGAACATGAGAATTCAGCCAGAAATGCTTTGGCCTACTCGGTGTTCCCCGTGGCATTGTTCATGCCGCTCTAAAGCGCTTAGTGCATCCATCCTCCAGAGAGTTGTCAGTGTGTGTTAATTCCACTGGATTACACGACAGTAAACCAGACCTGCTGCCACACCGAGGAGATTCGACTCTCGAGGACCCCATGACACTCAAAGTAGGAATAAGCTTCCACAGGGCTTTCTGTGACCTTTTGGAAATAGGTTGGTAGGCTTTTTTTCTGAAGTGACTCTGGGTCGATTCTAACCACCTATCTTTTGATCAGTGGGCAAGTGACTACCTGATGCTACGCAAGGATTCTTCCTACTGAATGGCTGTGGTTGGCGTCCATTGAGTCAATTCCAGCTGATAGTGATCCCAGGACTCCTTCATCTTTGCAGCCCTACTGAGTAGCTGTCATGAATTACGTAATCAATGAAACTTGTTCCTGAATGATTTTCTCTTGGCTGGTCAACTATGCTTATTTATACCTTTTTGTTAGATTGAGGTTTGTGACTATTCAACTTACAGAAAGACATCCGAGGCTTTATCTGAATGGCTTGTCCAGGGATGCTCCAGCACATTATGTACTTCACAAAACTGGTGTGAGCACCATCGGATACGACGCTGGCTATTCACGACCATAGTGGGTCTTTGTATTTTAGAGGAGTTTATGATTAACTTTTTTTTTTTTTCACTCTCATCTTAAACTGGAGCCAGGGCTCTCACACATTATTCATCCTGACCATTTCTGTTGCTGAGTGGGGACACAAAACACCACCATTGCTTCTGGTGAGGGCGCCACGTTCTATCCCTGGATAAGGGATGCAACATGGTGGGGCTGCTGTGAAACAAACGTGTATGAATTGTTGAATGGAAAACTGATCTCATCTGTGAACCTTCACACAATTCACAAAAGGCTTTTAAAAAAAAAGGAAAACTATATATAATTTAGCACCTAAGATGACTCTGCTCCTAATTTTCATAATATGTGGTATATACTTTGGGGTTTTCTGTGGCTAAATAACTAAGTTCTTTTACAATGAGAGTTAAAGAATGACTCAGCACCAGGTAGGTTCATGGTATGGCAGTCCTACTGATTCCAGAAGGACAAGTTCTATGGTTAGTAAACAAACTCTATGACCCAGGTGAGTTAACATTCTTAAGTCAACCTGTATTTCACATATGTGATCACTGCCACTCTCTCCCCATTCTCTCTCTTACAATGTTAATGTCCCCCCGCCCAAAATTTAGTTTGGTGACAACTTGTCTCTCTGCATGCATGTCACTCGCTTTCCCACCACTATCTTGCCCTTCATCCCACGTCTCTGATTCAATGACTTACCTGGTACTTTGTTTCTCTAAGTCTGGGTTGAAGAACATCTTCTATCTTGTTAGCACTTCTAGAAAGTGAGTCCTAAATCTGAATCCACTTCAAAGTCGAGACATGGTTATTGGCTAAAAGACCTCCCCAAACGTGACGACACTATGACTCTCCTGCGCTGTTCCAGCTTCTGGCTCACATGCCTGTCTTTCTTGCTGTATCTTCTGATGTAAACTGCAAGCTAGGTCCCTCCCTGCCTATTTCAACTTCCTCAGAGAGTCCTCCACTTAAGGAGTCCTGGTGGGATAACAGTTAAGCGCTTGGGTGTCAGCGAAGTTTGGTCATTTGACTCCCCCAGCTGGAAGACCTGACAATCTGGTTCTGGAAAGATGAAAGCCTGGCAAACCCTATGGGGCAGTTCTCCTCTGCACACAGGGGGTCCCTACGGATCCGAACCAAAGCAAGGACACCCAACGACAACTTCCCTCACCTAGCTGAGCATAGCAACTCTCTTGTTTCATGTATTCACTCTCAACAAAATAACTCAGTTCTGACTGGCACTGGGGTAGAGTCTGCTTTATTCCTCCCCTGACCAGGAATCTGCATTCTCATTCTGTTGACAGTGGATACGCAAGAAAATGCAGAAAGAACCTAGCTAGGAGAACGCAAGTGCTGTCAACGGAGCGTGATTACCTGTTTGTTGGCTTTCAGCACAGCTCTCAGTGTGGCGATCTGCTCTCGCTTGGTGCTCAACAAGGACTTGAGCTTGAGGATCTCTTCCATTAAGGCTTCCTTGTCTTTGTCGATCATGGGGGCCAGCTCTCGTGCCGCTGCTCTTTGACGGGACAGTTGCAAGGACCGGTCGACAGCTTTCTGCAGATGCTTGATTTGGTCCCGGATTATGGCATTAAGGTTGTAGATGTTCATTGGCTCTTTGCGGATGTCACTCGTATCCAGTACTGGCGATGAGGGTGGGGCAGTAATAACTGGAGAGATGGTGGGAGTCTTAGTGGGACTTGGCTCTTTACTGGACTCTGTGTTTTCTTTGGAAACAGGTTCGGATGAGGTCCGTGTTTCTACTGGGGATGACACACCCCGCCTGGCTAACCGTGGAGACAAAAGTCCCCTGGGATCATCAGGCCCTTTCAGACTGCCACTGCGGGTGACACGGCTCTGCCTGTAGTAGTCCAGCATAACCCTGTTGGGGGTTTCATTATTACACAGACACACATGGTGGTACAGCTGCGCTAACTCCTCACTGAAGGTCACTAACTCATCCTGGGCGGTATTAAGGGTATTGTGGTTTTCGTTGGCTATACTGGTCATCCTTTGCAACTCCTTCTCCATGTGGACCATCTTCTCGCCACTCTCCTTGGTGGTCTTCTCAAGGCTGGTCACCTGCTCATCATACATCTGGATCTTGCTCTCGTACTTGGCCTTCTCGTCAGTATAGTTTTCTACAGACTTGTTGTATTTCTCCTTCAAGGCCTTGATTTCCGCTTTCAAATCGATCACCTCGGTGACGGCCACCCTGTACTTGCACTCCAGGATCTCTAAGCCGTTGATGTCCACCTCATAGTCATGGGCTTCCTCTCCTGAGTCCCGGCCCTTCTCCCCATCCAGCTCCTTGAGCTCTTTGCTGCTCTGCAGGCCCCTCATGGCATTCATGTGCTCCGTGAGCCGGTGCACGCGCTCATGCTGCTCCGTCAGCGCGCCCTTGGTGTGTTCCAGCTGGGTCTGCGACTCCTGGAGGTTGGCCAGGAGAATGGCCTTTTCCCGCTCCACCTGCAACGGCAAAAGGTCAATGAATGACTTCGATGCCCATGTCGATGAGGAGCTTCATCCATTCCCCATCGGAGATGTATGCATTTTAAGTGACTCTGCAGAGCCAAGGCTTCCACTGTTGTTTTCAATTAAACTGGAGTGTATTTAATGCACTTTAGCAATGCAACCTTAGTTTAAATGCTCAGGAAAGTCGATCTGGAAAGACATGATATTAAAAAGAATAGGCTGTTCCCAATCCGGTGGACAGTCCCCCCTCCCTCCAAAAGAATTTACTTCAGAGGACAGCACTGAAGCTACGGCTCAGGGAGAGGGACATGTCTGATCAGAGCACACAGGAGCAAATAAAGGGTAAGGAAGAGAGAGTGGAGCACATTCTTGCCCACCAAGCCTTGAGGATGAAATCCTTGCTCAGAGCAGTCAATGCACAGAGAGGACCATATGGCTGGCCCCACTATAAGACACGACATCCCTCACTGACCCATAGCCCTACAGGGGACAACACTGGAGACACGGTGTGGGAATTGTGCCCAATCTGACCCCACCACACTGAGGCAAAACACTAAGGGCGTGCAACAGAACAGCAAGGGGATCAGAGCAATGAAGTCTCGAGGGAGTACCAAAAATAGACTTTGGGGTCAGGGCTTGGAACCCCATCAGACTCGACTGGAAAACACTCCTAAAGGTCAACAAACAGACCTTGAACTATTTACAGGCTTTTCTTTTTTATGTCATTGGCTTTGTTGTTATTGTTGTTTTCTTTTGTTGCTTTGTTTAACTCTGTCTTGTTTCTGTTCATATTATTATCTCTGCAGGTCAATCTAGAAAAGATAGGTGGGATAAACAATCTGGAGGAGAAAACAATGGGGGGGGACATGGGAGAGGAGGAGGTGGGGAAAAGGAAGTGAGTGTTAACAAACCCAGGGACAAGAGAACAAGTCATCCAAAATCGGTGGCAAGGAGGGTGTAGGAGGCCTGGTAAGGCTTGATCAAGGGCACTGTAATTGAGAGGAATTACTGAAACCCAAATGAAGGCTGAGCATGATAGTGGGGCAAGAGGAAAGTCAAAGGAAATAGAGGAAAGAACTAGGCAAAGGGCATTTATAGAGGTCTCAATACAGGCATGTACATATGTAAATATATTTATATATGATGATAGGGAAATAGATCTATGTGCATATATTTATAGGTTTAGTATTAAGGTAGCAGATGGACATTGGGCCTCCACTCAAGTACTC